TCAGCCGTGAATCCAGGAGGACTCCCAAGTTGCGCGCCCTCTCTGAGGGGGCCAAGGTTTCGCCCCCTATAGTCAGCGATGGGGTCAGCTGACTATGCCGAGACGCCGGCAACCACAGCCACTCGGTCTTGGAAGGGTTGAGCCTGAGTCTGTTCCTCCCCATCCAGACCCGTACGGCCTCCAGGCAACGGGCCATCACATATTTATGATGGTCAGAAGTGCCATCATTTTGAGGTGCTTTAACCACCAAAAGGTCATTAAGCAACCAGTTGTAACCTGAGGATTATCTGTATTTTATTCAGATTCACCACCCTTAGACCTCAGGTTTATACAGGTTTTGATCAGAAGCAAGCTCCTAGTTTGCAGAGGGCTTTTAACTGCCTTCTCTCGATCATTCAGACTGAAAATTCAAGTTTCACCACAAAAATGGAAAGCAAATGAGAAAGAAAGAGAAGGATGTGTATAAAGGTTATGTAAAGGTGAATAGGATAAGCTAAAAACGTATTGATGAAAGTAACAAACAGGCCTATATGGAACATCTGTAACAAAAATTATTAGTTTAAGCATGAGACAGCAGACACAAAGAGGAAGGAGAGGAAGCATTAAATTCTGAAATAAAAAGAAATTATGATCACCACTTAAAAAAATTTGAAAACTAGCAGAACGGAAGGATATTATATTGTATTATAAATTTGTTGATACAGAGGGTGAGACGTTAAGCAGATAAGATGTGTATTTTGAACATTAGATCTGGTGAGGAATGGTGATAGAGGAATTGGAGGTATATTAAAAAAATCTTGGGAATGATAAATATTAAACGTTAAATTTAAAGGTTAGTGGAAATTAAAACTGGAAAAATTTATTAGGTCATTGATCGTCTAAAAGATTGTATGCTAAAACAACTAGAATATATATAAACTAAAAACTATCGATATATGTAAGAAAGTTATTTTTTATGTGACTGATAGAATAAAACTTGTTTTAAATCTACAAATAGACAGTATATATGAAGGGGAAAAGAGAAGAAATGTTTATGGTAGCAAATATCATTATGTGCTAATGATATTTGTATGTAATTGAATTACTACCCAACCGCCACGTTGCTTTTCAAATATGTGAATGTAATATTAGAAAATCAATAAAATTTGTAGAAAGAAAGAAAGAAAGAAAGAAAGAAAGAAAGAAAGAAAGAAAGAAAGAAAAAAGAAAAAAAAAGAAAGAAGAAAGAAAGAAAGAAAGGAAGGAAGGAAGGAAGGAAGGAAGGAAGGAAGGAAGGAAGGAAGGAAGGAAGGAAGGAAGGAAGGAAGAAAGAAAGAAAGAAAGGAAGAGAGAAAGAGAGAAAGATCTATATCAATCTCCTCTGGCCACACTATCCTAAATTGCAACTTAAGACTTTTTTTTTCTCCAATCCCAAATTGCCAGGAATTGAACCTGGAACTTTCTGCGGGCAAAGAAAGAACCCTGTCTCCACTCTACGACTGATCCCTGGTCCTTCATCCTTCCTTCAACCCACCGTCAGCCAGACTGGGATCCAGATAGAAGTTTATCTATCCAGATTGTCTTAGTGGACAATCAATTAAACATGAGCCAATATTGTGCAGCCGCAGCCAAAAAAGCCAATGCAATCCTAATTTGCATTAACAGAGGGATTCAATCAATACCACTCCATAAAGCCTCAGTAAGACCACCAGTTTTGGTATCCACACTGTAAAAAAGATGTCGAGACTCTAGAAAAAGTTCAGAGAAGAGCAACAAAGAGGATTAAGGGACTGGAGGCTGAAACATACAAAGAACAGTTACAGGAACTGGGCACGGCTAGTCTAGTGAAGAGAAGGACCTGGGGAGACATCCTAGCAGTGTTCCAGTATTTGAGGGGTTGTCACAGAGGAGGGGGGTCAACCTATTTTCCAAAGCACCTGAAGGCCAGACAAGGAATAACAGATGGAAACTGATCAAGGAGAGATTCAACCTGGAAATAAGGAGAAATTTCCAGACAGTGAGAACGATCAGCCGATGGAACAGAAGTTGCCTTCAGAAGTTGTGGGAGCTTCATCACTGGAGGCTTCCAAGAAGAGACTGGACTGCCATCTGTCAGAAATGGTGTAGGGTCTCCTGCTTCGGCGGGGGGCTGGACTAGATGACCTACAAGGTCCCTTCCAACTCTGGCTATCCTATTCTGTTCTGTTTCCCAATGGGTCACCTCTAGTGACAAACTCACCTGCGGCCCAGCATGATGATCCCGCCCGTCTGAGGATTGATTTTGCAGTAGTCTCCGTGGGCCCAAACACCTGTCCATGAAAGAAAAGAAAAAAAACCCACAAGGTGGTCAACCAAATCTCCACAAAAAAACACATTTTTTTAAGCACCACCGGGTCACGGTCTTGCAGCCTTTGGAAGAACTGCACGCTCCGGTTATGTGTGTGTGTCGGAAGAGACAAAAGAGGCCTCCCTTTTTTTTGCATTGCAAAATAAAACCGGCTGGAAAACAGCAGAAGCCAGAAAAGTGTAAGAGAGAAAGGAATGACACACACACACAAACAAAAAAAATAACCCTCTCCCCTTTTGCTGAAACAAAATCAGAAAGTCAAACAGAGACAAGGATCCAAATGCCGGTCCTATCAGATTGGCAATTCTCTTGGCAAATATTGGTCCTCGCAGCAATACTTGGTGTGCTCAAATATTAGTTTACTGTAACACTAGGAAGGCCAGAAAGCAAATACACACACACATACATGCACACAGTCTCAGCTTGAAGAGCGTGGCTCTCTCGCTACATACCTGAAAATCTGGAAAAATACGCCTTCCGGTATTTGCTTCGGTTTTCATCGTTCCAAAAATGTGTGGGTTGACAAGGGATGGGTTTGGTGCAAACTAGCTCGCCACTTTCTCCCCAAACAGGCTCCCCTAGTTGAAGAATCAAATAAAAGGGTTATTTTTCCCCCCTTAGTTTAAGTATTACCTGATTTTGTACTGCTCAGGTGACCCTAAGGACACAGGTAAACCTCTAAATGGCCTCAACGATTCTCTAAAAGAAGGCAAATGACCAGCTGTCTGCAAGGAATATAAATCCTTCTATGCCCCACCATCTCATCCAAGCTTCTTGGATGAGAAGTGAAACAAGAAAAAAACAAGGAACTACAGTTGCCTCCTGAAAAATCACCTTTGGCACAACCATTCCCTTCTAGAACTGATGACGTCACCTAGCTGGGTCACGAAAGGTCTGCAAGAAAACAGTCAAGAAGTGCTGATGGCCCTCAAACAGGTCCAGCTCCTGTGGACAAACCACCAAATATAGATTGGGCGAGACCTGGCTTAAAAACAGCAACTGTGAGAGGGATCTTGGAGTCCTAGTGGACGATCACTTGACTATGAGCCAGCAGTGTGCAGCAGCAGCAGCCAAAAAAGCTAATACAATCCTGGGTTGCATAAACAGAGGCATAGAATCAAGATCATGCAAAGTATTAGCACCGCTTTATAAAACCCTAATGAGGCCACACCTGGAATACTGCAGCCAATTTTGGTCACCCTATCACAAAAAAGATGTTGAGACTTTGGAAAAAATTCAGAGAACAGCAACTAAGATGATCAGGGGCCTGGAGACCAAAACATATGAAGAATGGCTGCGGGATTTGGGGATGGCCAGTCTAGAGAAAAGAAGAACTAGAGGTGACATGATAGCAGTATCCCAGTATTTGAGGGGTTGCCACAAAGAAGAGGGGGTCAAATTATTCACCAAAGCACCAGAGGGCAGGACAAGAAACAATGGTGGGAAAGTGATCAAAGAGAGAAGCAACCTGGAACTAAGGAGAAACTTCCTGACAGTGAGGACAATCAACCAGTGGAACAGCTTGCCTCCAGAAATTGTGGGCACCCCATCACTGGAGATTTTAAAGAAGAGACTAGATTCACCTGTCTGAGATGGCATAGGTCCTCCTGCTTGAGCGGGGGGCTGGACTAGAAGACCTCCAAGGTCCCTTCCAGCTCTATTCTATTCTATTCTATTCTATTCTATTCTATTCTATTCTATTCTATTCTAATTCAACTCAACTCAACTCAACTCTGTTCTATTCTATTCTATTCTATTCTATTCTATTCTATTCTATTCTATTCTATTCTATTCTATTCCGGCAAAATAGACAGAGCAATTCCCCATTTGAGTAATGATCCTTAGTTGTTCCTAACAATTTGTTCCACTTTCACTGTTCAGACTTGGAGCAAGCCACCATGGAGATGTCCAGACCTACCTTGATCATTCCACGCTTCTACCGCCATTGCCAGATTCCGCGCCTGGATCTCGCCTTTGTAAACCGGAATGGTCACGTTATGACCCATGAAACACGAAACTATATCGGTGCCTCCTACAATCAGAGAGACGGAGAAAATGTTGCCAGGACAGCTCCCCAAAAGGGTCAAACTTCCTACGTTCAATAAGCAAATGGTGGAGGAAGCATCTAGAAAAGTCTGCATAAATGATCCCAGGTGGCCCACGAGTCCTAGCTAGCTTCTACACCTTGTGTCTAATGACATGTCCAGCGGAGAACGTTGAGCTGATTAGAAAGCTCAACACTTAGACCAGGGGGTCTTCAGACTTGGCCCTTTTATGACTCATGGACTTCAACTCCCAGAATTCCTCAGCCAGCGTGCCTGGCTGAGGAATTCTGGGAGTTGAAGTCCATGAGTCATAAAAGGGCCGAGTTTGAAGACCCCTGACTTAGACCCAAGGTGGATTCAGTGTTTACCAAGAACCTCATAACAGCCAGTGGGGTGTGGGACTAAGGCTGGAGACATCCAGATTTCAGTTTATCTTCAATGGTGGAAGCCCACTCGGTGACTTTGGGCCACCTCCTCTCTCAGACAAGAACCAGCATGGGATCATGAGGAAGGTGCTGTCCTGGCTAGGATGAGACCCTGATTTCCTACAAAGTGATCTTGGCCAGTCACTATCACCCAACATTGGAAGGGTCTCCAATAACTCCAGTAGTATGCTCCTATTGAATTGAGCCATGGATTAATGAATTATCCTAGCCTACTTAAGCGTGCCCAAAAGGTGAAGCATCAACTAACCACCTTCAGATGTTGCATTGGTCTCTCCAGAGGCATCTTTGAGTCCAGCCTGACCTACTTCACAAGTTTGTGGGTCAAAATTAAAGGCAGACTATCAGTCTCATCTGATAAAGAACACGGCTAAGTGTCAACTTCGAATAAGCCTGCCTGTGGCCATTTTCCTTTCTCATTTTCAGCTGACACACTCAGCAAGGAGGGAGAGGGGGTGTCATGCCTCCATCTGAGCCTGAATCTGAGGAAAAAATGGAGCTGGGACGGGACCCTATGGAGGCCGAGGGGTCTGTGGCTTCAGAGGAACATGGGGAAGAGCAGGCCGAGGCAGGCCAGGGCCCTTCAGGATTGGGACAGGACGAACAGGGGAGAAAGACTTCAGGCGAGGAGCAAGGGCCACCCCCACCTGATCCTAGAGCATGGAGAGTGGAGAGGAGGGAACAACGCAGGTAGGCTCAACTACTCGGAGGAGAGCGTCCGGCCCCACTCCACAAGGCACACCTGGGGACTGAGATTTAAGGAGACACTCTGGGGTAGGGCATTTGTCGGGAACAAACGCTGATTCCTTGGAGCGTTGTGTATTGCTCTTGTTCTGTGCCTTCTGTTTGAAAACCTGGAAACCTTGACTACTGGACCGGCTGACCACGTTGATTGAATGTTTACAGACCTCCGACTGTATTTCGGATTCTCTCTTTTGGAAACTGCTCAAGCAAGCTTGGATTCAAAGGGATGGACTCCTTAAGTTTATTGTTTTCTTCCTTGTTATCTCTGTGGCCTTGAGTACTTTCTTATGCTAATCAGCCTGTAGTTGAGCCTACTTTCAACCAGAGTCGGCTGAAGGGATGCGTTTGTGTGATCTTTTGTTGGAGGCTTGCCAGCAAACGTGGGAGCGTTTGGGGGAAATTGGGAGCAATAAAAGAACGGTTTGAATTGCCAGCTGACTGCATCGCCTCTGTGCTGTGCCCTGGGTCATCACAAGAAGTTGCAGGTTTTTGGCTAGTCAAAACAAACTTTCTCTCGGGCTTTCTCTAGTGACAACCAAGGTCATCGTCTGCTCCCGGGACTGCGGGCTGGGCCTGCCAAGAAAAGCCCGCCAACAAGCTGTATGGACAAACGTAGCTGTTTGCATAGACTTGGGGGTGGGATTTTCTAACTTTGCCTTGGGGAATCATTACGTGTCTCTTCCGTCTTGGTTTCACTTTTGAAGTACCGATCCGTGGTAAGAACAAACACGTTCTTTGAGGAATTAGCAAGCCTCGGAGTTCTGCTTTATTTGTCTTTTCTGTCGGAACAATGACACTGAGCTAATTGAGGTAAATTCAAAGCAGGCTAGATGGCAAATAATTACACTTGTATTATTTGCACAAGTCTATCACATTCGGCTTTTTGGGGTACCTGAAATGGAGCCCAGGAGGACACTGCTCTTGATGTGCTGGTAGACGTACTCGTAACTTTGACTTTTGAGGGGAGACCCGGTTGACAAGATGGTGTGGAGGGTCTGAAGGTTGTGGGTTTCACCTTGAGAAGAAGACATCACAGATGTAAATCCTGGCCCAACCTCCCTCCATTTCAACAGTGTTGCGAGGCTTCAAGAGCAGCACATTTTAAGAAGAGACTGGACAGTCACTTGTCTGAGATGGTATAGGTTCTCCTGCTTGAGCAGGGGGCTGGACTAGAAGGAAGACCTCCAAGGTCCCTTCTAGCTCTATTCTGTTCTGTACCATTCTGTTCTACTCTATTCTATTCTACAATTATTCTATTCTATTCTACAATTATTCTATTCTATTCTACAATTATTCTATTCTATTCTATTTTATTCTATTTTACAGTTATTCTATTCTATTCTGTTCTATTCTACAATTATTCTATTCTATTCTATTCTACAATTATTCTATTCTACAATTATTCTATTTTATTCTGTTCTATTCTATTCTACAATTATTCTATTCTGTTCTATTCTATTCTACAATTATTCTATTCTATTCTGCTCTATTCTACAATTATTCTATTCTATTCTATTTTATTCTATTCTATTTTACAATTATTCTATTCTATTCTGTTCTATTCTACAATTATTCTATTCTATTCTATTTTATTCTACAATTATTCTATTCTACAATTATTGTATTTTATTCTGTTCTATTCTATTCTACAATTATTTTATTTTATTCTATTCTGTTCTATTCTACAATTATTTTATTCTATTCTGCTCTATTCTATTCTGCAATTATTCTATTCTATTCTGTTCTATTCTATTCTACAATTATTCTATTCTGTTCTGTTCTATTCTACAATTATTCCATTCTGTTCTGTTCCATTCCATTCCATTCTATTCTACAATTGTTCTATTCTGTTCTATTCTGTTCTATTGTATTCTATTCTATTTCTATTCTATTATACAATTATTCTATTCTATTCTATTCTATTCTATTCTATTCTATTCTATTCTATTCTATTCTATTTGTTGTGATGCGGCTGATCTGGGACTTCCAAGCAAAAGTCAAACACGTTTGATGGACTCCAGACTTAACCAGGTGAAGTAGAATCAACAGCCATGGGGAAATTCTAAACACAGGTCAGTAGACTGGAGGGACACGAGATGTTTCTTGCCCAAAACATTTCAAAAGAAGCTCAAGTGGTGCCCACTTTACTCAAAATGTTCCACCACCCCTTCAGCAGTTCCACGAGTGTTTCAGTCAGTATCTTACAAGATGATGGGAACAGCACCACGACATTCCACCATCTCAAGTCAAGTCAACCCCCTTCAAGCTTCAAACCACGTCAAAGCCAGTAACTCATGTTTGAGTATATGTCTCAGAATCCTGAGCCTTGCTGACTGGTTTTCTATTTATTCAGCTAAGATCCTGGCTTGTGATAAGGTAGCAACTCTTTGGAAATATTATGGGATGGAATGAGAGAAACAAGAAAAGAGTGACCCAGTTCAGTCACTTTGGCCCATACCCTGGTGGTTACCTGGGTGCTTATGGGCCATGTGTGAACTAAGCCAAACCCTGGTTGAACAAACCACAGTTTTGTGTGCTGCAAAACCCCAATATAATACTTAATACTTACGTGGCTTCAGATTCTTCTCTTCCAGCACCGCCAACCACTTGGCACCAGTCCCAAGGATGGTAATTCTGTGGCCAGAGAAGAACAATCCTTGATTATGGTTTATAATCTCAGGCATGAATTTTTCGAGCAATCTCAGGAAATTAATTTCTTCTGCAAGTGAAGGATTTGCAGAGGGAAACATTTACACAAAAACACGGCCTGGTTTTTACCCCAGCAAGGGATCCCACCGCTTCAGATGGTCCTCCGAAGCTCCCAGTTAACTTTTTCCCAACATCTACAAGCTACACGGAGAATTCCTCTTGGCAAAAAGTAGCTTCTTGTACGGGGGGATGGGCTGTGGATCTAAAGCAGGGCACTTGACCATCATGTAGAAAAAACCTGGTCAATTTGCAGCAAATTAAGGAAGGTTCACCTCCATCAAAAAGCAAGTCTAATTCTGCTGCTCAAAGCTACTTCTCAAAACCTCAAATTCAGTTGAGCATGGGACCTTCTCCTAATTATCTGGGAGCTTGTCTTCTTCTCAACAACCTCACTTATCAATACCTTGAGAGGCCCAAACTTCTGAAAAGACACCAGGGTCCATCTAAAGATGCTTAGCCGGTCTGGTTGATGGTTTACGTACCCTACTCGATCCACCAAGTCCCACAAGACGTTGGGAGAAGGAACCAGGGGGGAGCCATCGTACAGGACCACCGAGGCCCCCACGGCGAGGGCAGACACCAGCCAATTCCACATCATCCAACCGGTCTAGGATGAAAAGAGGACAATTGACTTTCTCCAGCTTATGTAGATCAGCTTGTCAGAAGGCTGCAAAAGGGGATCACATGACCCTGGGACACAGCAACCGTCATAAACATGGCCACATGACCCGGGGACACAGTAACCATCATAATCATATGCCTTTGGGACATGGCAACCATCATAAATATGGTCACATGACCCTGGGACACGGCAACCGTCATAAATATGGTCACATGACCCAGGGACACGGCAACCATCATAAATATGATCACATGACCCTGGGACACGGCAACCGTCATGAGTATGATCACATGACCCTGGGACACGGTAACCGTCATAAGTATGATCACATGACCCTGGGACACGGCAACCGTCATAAGTATGATCACATGACCCTGGGACACGGCAACCGTCATAAATATGAGTCAGCTGCCAAGCGTCCGAATGTAGATTATGTAGAAAAAGCTGTTGCTTTTTCGTCTGTTTTTAGACCTGCAAAGACACATTTTTGTACATTTCCTAGACACCCCGTGCGCTGTTAACCAAGCGCAACCTACGACTCGTGTGCTAAGCATGATGTAATTTCCCAAGTCCCATGCAAAGCAGGGCCCCCTCCCGCTCCCAGGCACAAGAACCGGCCGTCTGAATCTTCCAGAAGTATCCTCTAGGAAGTTCCCATGCTTTTATACACACATGCGGATGATCTGAGAATTTTAGGGGTTTAAAACGTACTCAAAAAACTTGGATCAGGGTAGACAATCATACAGGTAGTCCTTGACAATTGAGCCCAAAGATTTTTGCTGCTAAGCAACACAGTTGTTAAGTACCGCTTTATAAAACCCTAGTGAGGCCACACCTGGAATACTGCAACCAATTTTGGTCACCATATCACAAAAAAGATGTTGAGACTTTGGAAAAAATTCAGAGAAGAGCAACTAAGATGATCAAAGGCCTGGAGATTAAAACATATGAAGAATGACTGCAAGACTTGGGTCTGGCTAGTATAGGGGTAGGCAACCTTGGCTCTTTTATGACTGGTGGACTTCAACTCCCAGAATTCCTGAGCCAGCATGGCTCAGCTTGGAAACCTCTCCCTTTCCCCTCAGCATGGCTGGCTCGGGAATTCTGGGAGTTGAAGTCCACGAGTTATAAAAGAGCCAAGGTTGCCTACCCTTGGGCTAAAGAAAAGAAGAAATAGGGGAGACATGATAGCAGTATTCCAATACTTGAGGGGCTACCATAAAGAAGAGGGGGTCAAATTCTTCTCCAAAGCACCAGAGGGCAGGACAAGAAACAATGGTTGGAAACTGATCAAAGAGAGAAGCAACCTGGAATTAAGGAGAAACTTCCTAACAATGAGAACAATTAACCAGTGGAACAGCTTGCCTCCAGAAAGTGTGGGCGCTCCATCACTGGAGGTTTTTAAGAAGAGACTGGACAGTCACTTATCTGAGATGGTATCTCCCCTGCTTGAGCAGGGGGCTGGACTAGAAAACTTCCAAGGTCCCTTCCAGCTCTATTCTATTCTATTCTATTCTATTCTATTCTATTCTATTCTATTCTATTCTATTCTATTCTATTCTATTCCTTATTCTATTCCGTATTCTATTCTATTCTATTCCTTATTCTATTCCTTATTCTATTCTATTCCTTATTCTATTCCTTATTCTATTCCGTATTCTATTCTATTCTATTCCTTATTCTATTCCTTATTCTATTCTATTCTATTCTATTCCTTATTCTATTCTATTCTATTCTATTCTATTCTATTCTATTCTATTCTTATTCTATTCTATTCCTTATTCTATTCTATTCTATTCTATTCTATTCTATTCCTTATTCTATTCCTTATTCTATTCTATTCTATTCTATTCTATTCTATTCTATTCTATTCTATTCTATTCTATTCCTTATTCTATTTCCTTATTCTATTCTATTCCCAGAGGACTACCAACAAAGTCAAGGGTAGAAATAAGATTTGCTTAACGACTGGGTGACTTGCGTAATGACTGTAGCGAAAAAAAGATCATACAATCAGGCACGACTCACTTAATGAACACCCTGGTTAGTGTCAGACATTCCGGTCCCAATTGTGAATTGTAGATCAAGGACTACCTGCATCCTGTATAATACTCACTTCTAAGACCATCCATGGATAAACAAACTCCACAATTTTAAACCCAAATACCGTGAAGCTTCTGCCACCTGCAGTTAAGCCAATTGTGAAAATAACAACACGCAAACATCTCAAGAGCGGGCTTATCCACAGATGGGCTTATCCGCAAGCATATGCAGTAATTGATTTTAATCTGCATTTAATCTTGGGCTAAGCTAATCGGGTCTCCTCGGAGGACGAGGCAGCTTCTCTTGAAGACGGGGAACACGCCAAGGCAGCGCATCCAGGTGCCTCAAAAGGATTCCCTGTTCGAAGACTTTCAACAATTTAATGTTTGCTTTCATGGAAGGAAAGAGTCAACATAACAACATCGATAGATGATGCAAAAGAGACAATCAACCAGTCCAAAAAGGAAAAAAAGGAAAAAAAAACAGCACCTCTCCACCAGCCATAAGCACCCAGATCAGCATAGATTAACTCCAAGGTCACCTTCAGACCAGCAATGAAGTAAGCAAATATATCCCAATCAGGAAACTGCCAAAAAGCCATTAGTAAACAGCCCAACCAAAGAATCCCTAAGACCAACCCCCACCCACCCAGACAGGAAAGACCCCAGAATATAAACCGACAGCAAACAGCACACTGTACTAGCACTGATGATGTTACCTAGTTGGGTAATGAAATGTCTAGAAGAAAACCACCAAGCTCAGAAAGCATCAAGGACCCCACAGCCCTCCTCCTCTTCCTGCAATCCCACTCCCATCTAGTACTGATGACATTACCTAGCTGGGTAATAAAAGGTTTGCATGAAAACCAGCAAGCTCAGAGAGCACCAAGGACCCCACAGTCCTTCCTTCCTTCCTTCCTTCCTTTCCTTCCTTCCTCCCTCCCTAAATTCCACTTCCTTCTAGCACTGATGATGTAACCTAGTTTGGTAATGAAACGTCTGCAAGAAAACCAGCAAGCTCAGAGAGCACCAAGGACCCTATAGTCCTTCCTTCCTTCCCTCCTTCCCTAAATTCCACTCCCTTCTAGTACTGATGATGTTACCTAGTTTGGTAATGAAACGTCTGCAAGAAAACCAGCAAGCTCAGAGAGCACCAAGGACCCCATAGTCCGTCCGTCCTTCCTTCCTTCCTTCCTTCCTTCCTTCCTTCCTTCCTTCCTTCCTTCCTTCCTTCCTTCCTTCCTTCCTTCCTCCCTCCCTCCCTCCCTCCCTCCCTAAATTCAATCCCTTCTAGTTTACCTAGTTACCTAGTTTGGTAATGAAACATCTGCAAAAAACCAGCAAGCTCAGAGAGCACCAAGGATCCCTCATGCCAACCCCGAGCTACGAATATTCTCCTTTATTAAAGAAAAAGTCACTTGCCGTGGTATAGTATATGATGACGTCATTACTGCTCATGTTCCCGTGAAGGATATGTTCCTTCAGGTGCTGAATCAAAGTCCCCTACAGGGATAAATATATATATATATATAAAAAATAGAGAGGAGAGAGTTTAAATTGCATTACAAAGCTAAAATGAAATTTTAGTTTAATTTAAATCTGAATTAGCAAAACGGAGTCAAGCACTCAAACAACTTGTTTGCACACCAAAGAGTTCACAAAGATTCTGGAGCATTAAACTGCAAATCCTGCAACGGCCACACAATGAATATGGACAGAGAAATCAAATCGATCCATTTGAGGCTTCAGTCCAGGGCAAACCACTTATTTTATTTATTTGTATCCCGTCTTCATTATTTTCAGAAATAACTTGAGGCCGCGAACCTATCCCATACAACTTCCTCCTATTTCCCATACACAACGACGAACTGGTGATTGGCCCAATGCCACCCAGCGGGATTTTATGGCTGAGGCAGGACTAGAACTCACAGTTACCTGGTAATTGGCCCAAAGTCACCCAACTTAGCTTTTCTGACTAAGACAGAACTAGAACTCACTGCCTCCGGGTGATTAGCCCAAAGCCACCCAAATGGCTTTCATGGCTGAGGTAGGACTAGAATTCATGTCTCCCAGTGATTGGCCCAAAGTCACCCAGCTGGTTTACATGCCAAAGGTGGAACTAGAACTCACCGTCGCCTGGTGATTGGTCCAAAGTCACCCAGCTGGCTTTCACGACTAAGGCGGGACTAGAACTCACCCTCTCCCGGTGATTGGTCCAAAGTCACCCAGCTGGCTTTCATGACTAAGGCGGGACTAGAACTCACCCTCTCCCGGCGATTGGTCCAAAGTCACCCAGCTGGCTTTCATGACTAAGGCGGGACTAGAACTCACCCTCTCCCGGCGATTGGTCCAAGGTCACCCAGCTGGCTTTCATGACTAAGGCGGGACTAGAACTCACTCTCTCCTGTGATTGGTCCAAAGTCACCCAGCTGGCTTTCATGACTAAGGCGGGACTAGAACTCACCCTCTCCCGGCGATTGGCCCAAAGTCACCCAGCTGGCTTCCATTCCTATGGCAGAACTAGAACTCACCATTTCATGAACTAACCTATTTTAAAATATTATTTTAAACTTAACATACAATTATTTGAATTTCTTCAATCTTACAAAAGCGAACACACGTATCCTGGTCACAGGTGTTATTACGCTAACACGTGTTTTCTCCCATACGACTAATATCTGTGCATTTTCACGCCAGGCGCGCAATAAATAAAAAAAGGGAGACCCACCCCTGCAGAATGCACCATGCATTTCGGGGCGCCCGTCGTGCCGGAAGAGTACATGATAAAAAGCGGGTGGCTGAAGGGAAGCTGTTCAAATTCCAGCTGCGGTGCCTGGTCTCCGTGGCCCGTTCCGAGAAAATCTTCTAAAAACACGCTGAGTGAAAAAGAAGGAAAAAGGTAAAAAATCAGAATTCCGTATTATTGAGATTTTTTTTCTATGCAACCGTCGGCACTCCAAAGCAGGATCAACCCCGGGAACTAAAGACACCCAAAATAATACAGGTAAGTCCTTCACTTACGACCACAACTGAGCCCAAAATGTTACGTTGCTAAGTGAGAAATTTGTTAAGTGAGCATTGCCCCATTTTACGACTTTTCTTGCCAGTCGTTAAGCGAATCGCTGCAGTTGTTAAATTAGCAACCCGGTCGTTAAGTGAATCTGGCTTCCCCATGGATTTTGCTTGTCAGAAGGTCGCAAAAGGGGATCACGTGACACTCCCCCCAGGATGCAGCAACCGTCATAAATATGAGTCGGTTGCCTAGCGTCTGAATGTAAATCACGTGACCACGGAGATGCTACAACGGACGTGTGAAAAACGGTCATTAATCCCCTCTTTCCAGTGTCGTCGTAACTTCAAAAGCTCACTAAAGGAACTGCTTTATGTTGAGGGCTGCCTGTCCGTTCATTTAGTGACCGTTTCAAAATTACAACGGCACCTGAAAAAAGCGGCTTTCAGACCGGTCCTCACCCTTACAACCGTCGCAGCATCTCTGTGGCCGCGGGATCAAAATTTGGGCACCTGTATTTAGGTCCTTGGGTCATGTGATCTCCATTCGTGACCTTCCCTGCCGGCTTCTGACAAGGGGAAAGGTCAACGGAGGAAGATTCGCTTAACGACCATGGTAAAAAAACAGTCTTAAAATTGGGGGCGATCCACTTAACAGCCGCCAATGGAGATACTGGTCCCAATGGTGGTGGTAAATCAAGGGCTACCTGTACTTTTGTGATAAGGTCATAGGAAGAGAGCCTTGCAAATCTGAAGGCACCTCAGCCAATTCCCATCATATCCTTCGAAGCTTCATACCTGTTTGGGATTCTGGAAATATCTATGGATTCTCTTGAAGAGACGTAGGGGATCACAACCACTTTCTTCAGATCCGGAAGTCCTAAAAGAAAAAAAAGGGTCAGAAATGCAAAGATGATCAAATAGCAACAGCCCTTAGACTTATATGCCGCTTCACAGTGCTTCACAGCCCTCTCTAAGCAATTTACAGAGTCAGCCTGTTGCCCCCAACAATCTGGATCCTCATTTTGTCAACCTCGGAAGGATGGAAGGCTGAGTCAACCCTGAGTCGGTCAGGATCGAACGGCTGGCAGTGGGCAGAATTAGCCTGCAATGCTGCATTCTAACCACTGTGCACCATGGAAGGAAGGAAGGAAGGAAGGAAGGAAGGAAGGAAGGAAGGGGAAAGAGATGGGAGGGAAGGAGGGGAGAGAAAGGGAGGGAGGGACATAAGGAAGAAAGGAAGGAAGGGATCCGAGGGAGGGAGCAAGGAAGAGAGAGAGAGGGTAGAAAGGTAGGGGAAGGAAGGAAGGGGAAGGAAGGAAAAGGGAGGGAGGGAGAAGAGAAGGAAGGAAGGGGAGGGAAGAGAAAGGGGGAGGAAGAAGGGAAGAAAAGGGAGGCAGGGAGGGAGGGAGGCAGGGAGGGACGAAGGAAAAGTGAGGGAGCAAGGGAGAGAAGAGAAGGAAGGGAGGGAAGAGAAAGGGGGAAGAAGAAGGGAAGAAAAGGAAGGAAGGAAGGAAGGAAGGAAGGAAGGAAGGAAGGAAGGAAGGAAGGAAGGAAGGGAGCAATCGCACTAGCAACAGCCCTTAGACTTATATACCGCTTCACAGTGTTTTCCAGCCCTCTCTACGCAGTTTACAGAGTCAGCCTATTTGCCCCCAACAATCTGGGTCCTCATTTGACCGACCTCAGAAGGATGGAAGGCTGAGCCAACCTTGAGCCAGTTAAGATCGAACTGCCGGCAGCCGGCAGTCAGCAGAGTTAGCCTGCAGGACTGCCTTCCATCCACTGCACCACCACAGCTCTTTATGGCGCATTCCTTACGCCGCGTTCCGACAGGAGGGAGGGGAACCCTTTTCCAGCATGAAAAAAAACCACTGACTCACCTCTGACCACCCTCTGCAGCTTGTCCAGGTGATTGTGCCGTTTCCCGTTGTAGACGACGGCTTCGACGGAGAAGATTAACTTGGGTTGAATTTGGGAGAACCGGTCCAGGACGCCCTGCGGGCAGATGGTGAGAGGGAAGCAAGACCTTAGCAGAGAATTCAACCAACGTGGATGGAAGGGTTGGCTTTTAGTTACAGGCGGTCCTCAACTTACTAACGCTCATTTAGCGACCGGAATTACAACAGCACTGAGAAAAAGCAACTGACGACCATGGTTCACACTTACGACCTCTGTAGCCTCCCCAGCTGCTTGGCAACTGGTTCATACTTACGACCGCTGCTGAGTCCCCAGGTCATGTGATCAACTCCCGGCCAGCAAACTCGGCGGGGAAGCCGTGATTCACTTAGCAACCGGGTTACCAAGTCATCAGTTGCGATGATTCACTTCACAACGGTGGTAAAGAAAGGTCGTAAAACGAGGCAAAACTCGCTTAAAACAAATGTCTCCCTTCGCGACAAAAACCGGGGGGCCCATTGTAGTCAAGTCAAGGACTACCTGTGTTCATTGGATTTTTTTGTTTTTAGAGCCTTTGCCATCTCAGCAAATGATTCTGTGCAGCTCACAATTTTCTCCAGGTCGTCCTAGCTCAGGTGGACCATAACATCTCTAGCCAACCCCTTCCGTGCAGAAGAGATCTGAGACTAGAATAGAATAGAGCTGGAAGGGACCTTGGAGGTCTTCTAGTCCAGCCCCCTGTTCAAGCAGGGGAACCTATACCATCTCAGACTGGTGATTGTCTAGTCTCTTCTTAAAAATCTCCAGTGATGGAGTGCCCACGATTTCTGAAGGCAGGCTGTTCCACTGGTTAATTGTCCTCCCTGTCAGGAAGTTTCTCCTTAATTCCAGGTTGCTTCTCTCTTTGGTCAGTTTCCAACCATTGTTTCTTGTCCTACCCTCTGGTGCTTTGGTGAATAATTTGACCCCCTCTTCTTTGTGAGAGCCCCTCAAATACTGGAATATTGTTATTATGTCTCCCCTAATTCTTCTTTTCTTTAAACCAGCCAAACCCAAGTCCTGCAGCCGTTCTTCGTATGTTTTAGTCTCCAGGCCTTTGATCATCTTAGTTGCTCTTCTCTGAATTTTTTCCAAAGTCTCAACATCTTTTTTGTGATATGGTGACCGAAATTGGCTGCAGTATTCCAGGTGTGGTCTCACTAGGGTTTTATAAAGCAGTACTAATACTTTGCGTGGTCTTGATTCTATGCCTGTTTATACAACCCAGGATTGTGTTAGCTTTTTTGGTTGCTGCTGCACACTGCTGGTTCATAGTCAAGTGATCGTCCACTAGGACTCCAAGGTCCCTCTCACAGTTGCTGTTTTTAAGCCAGGTCTCACCCAACCTGTACTTGTACCTTTGATTCCTTGGATGTAATTCCTCCTTGCATCCAGAGCTGGAGGAGATTTAGTTTACTCAGACAAGCCAGGACCTGTAGTAGGGACACACTGTCCTAGTCAGGCCACCAGGCACAATGGGTCTTCTGTTCAGCTTGTTCCACCATTCAAGGAACTAGATGTTCCCCCTCTAAACATCTCCAGCGGACAAAAGACAAGCCATGTTGCAGCCACTTATTTTCATGTTGCAAATTTGCTTCCAGTTCAGCACATGAATGACTTTCAAAATTAAATTCAGCTGAGATCTTAATTGCAGGTCCAGTGGCCTAAATCACACACACATACACACATACATTTTAAAATTAAATTCGGCCGAGATCTTAATTGCATGTCCAATGCCCTAAATTACACACACACACACACACACACACTTATATGAACTGTTACTACAAGCAACAGATCCATTTTTCCCCCTAAATGCTCGGCCTTTGGATAAAAAGCAGGGGAGCCTGACTACCCTCTTCTGGTGATGCCATAATAAAGTCAAGTCTGAAGTCAACAGATTGTCCTCGATTTACGACAGTACAGAACTTCCACTGCTAAGCAATGTGGTCATTAAACGAGCCAGGCCCCGGTTTTACAACTTTTGCCATAGTCATTAAGCAAATCACACAGTCATTAAGCGAATCTAGTTTCTCCCATTGATTTTGCTCGCCAGAAGCTGGCTAGGACGGTCACAAATGACACTCACGCGACACACAGCCCGAACACTGCGACTGTCGTAAATACCGGCCAGTTTCCAAGTGTCCCAATTTTGATCACATGATATGAGGTTGTATAAGTTCCTTTCTTCAAAATAACAGAGTTGAAAGGGACCTTGTAGGTCATCTAGTCCAACCCCATCCAAGCAGGAGACCCTACACCATTTCTGACAGAGGGCAGTCCAGTCTCTTCTTGGAAGCCTCCAGTGATGAAGCTCCCACAACTTCTGAAGGCAATTTCTGTTTCATTGGTTGATTCTTCTCACTGTCAGAAGATTTCTCCTTCTTTCTAGGTTGAATCTCTCCTTCATCCGTTTCCATCTGTTATTCCTTGTCTGGCCTTCAGGTGCTTTGGAAAATAGGTTGACCCCTCCTCTCTGTGGCAGCCCCTCAAATATTGGAGCACTTCCCTGGTCCTACTCTTCACTAGACCAGCCATGCCCAGTTCCTGCAACCGTCCTTCATGTTTTAGCCTCCAATCCCCTAATCATCTTTGTTGCTCTTCTCTGCACTTTTTCTAGAGTCTCAGCATCTTTTTTTTATAGTGTGGAGACCAAAACTGGTTGCAGTATTCTAGGTGTGGTCTTATTAAATCTTTAGAGTGTGTTATTAGTACCTCACGCAATCTTAATTGAATCCCTCTGTTAATGTAACTTAGGATTGTGTTGGCTTCCTTGGCTGCCACTGCACAATATTGGCTCATATTTAATTGATTGTCCACTAACACTCACAAGATCCCTCTCACAGTTGCTGTTATTAAGCCTGGTTTCACCCAGTCTATATGTGCACTTTTGGTTTTTCTTGCCTAAATGTAAGACACTACTTTTCTCTACCGTGAATTTCATTTTGTTAGATAGGGTTTCAGCATCATTGTAACTTGGGTCATTAAACAAATAGTCGTAAGCCGAGGACTACTGGAAAGTGCAAATGCAGGAGGATGATTTGAGAGGGAGGGGAACCACTCACATTGATGCCAAAATCCGGCGACGTGGCGCTCCAGATGGCCCCGATGCTGGCAGCGGCTAGCATGGCTTCCACCGCGTGGATGCTGTTGGGCAGGTAACCTGGAAGGGTAGCAAAAATGGAAGAGGAAGGGATGAATGATGGATCGTTAGAGCAGAACTACTAGATTCTGTAACAGCTTTGGTCCTTATGCAGCCCTCTTGTAAATACGCAGGATTTCTTTTTTTTTTCTTTTTTTCTTTTTGGCAGGTATATGTATACATTCGAACTAGACTGTGATGTTTCTCTGTGTCATGTGTGTGTGTGTGTGTGTGTATGGGGGTAGATGCATAATGGTATTTTTTTGAGAGCTGAATGTAACGAAATTTCATTTTTAATGTATGCTGATTAGTGTACATTTAAAGTGACAATAAAGTTTTTATTCTATTCTACTTTATATGCTATTCTATTCTATATTCTACGCTATTCTACCCTACTCTATATTCTATTCTACTCTATTCTGTATTCTATTCTATTCTACTATTCTATATTCTATTTTACTCTATTCTATATTTTATTCTACTCTATTCTATATTCTATTCTGTTCTATATTTTACTTTATATTCTATTTTATTCTACTCTATATTCTATTTATATTCTACTCTATTCTATTCCATATTCTATTCTACTCTATCCTATTCTACTCTATTCTATATTCTATTCCATTCTACTGTATATTCTATTCTACATTCTATTCTATTCTATATTCTATTCTATTCCATATCTTCTCTTCTCTTCTCTTCTCTTCTCTTCTCTTCTCTTCTCTTCTATTCTATTCTATTCTACTCTACAATCTTTCTATTCTATTCTATTCTATTCTATTCTATTATTTCTATTTCTATTCTTATTTCATTCTATTTCTATTGTATTCTCCCACTCAGGCCACCAAGTGATCAAGAAAGTCAAAGTTGCATCAGCTCAGTTGCCCCAGAGCCGTCCCTGATGCCTCCCACCTGCCAGGTCTAAATTGCCGACTCCCCCGACAGGTGACACAACCCGACTGAATTGCCCAAAGCAAGGGCTTGCACAATCCCAAACCGTGTCTGGGAAGAGGAAGGGGGAGCCCCACGTCCTCCCCTTTCTCTTTGAAAGCCCACCAACTCATCTGGCTACAAGGAAGAAGGTCCTGCACCCAGCAGGTCCCTCACAATCCGGGCTGGATCCCTCGAGGGAGGACCATTGAGGTGCAAAGGAGAGGAAGGGTTGCAGACACCCAGCCCCGAACTGGTCCTTCAGGCTCGGTGGCAGATTTTGAAACCCGATGGGAACCTGAATGTTACCCTCCTTACTAAACCAAGATCTGGCTTGGCTGGTTCGAGCCACAAAGCCAAGATCGGTTGTGTAAGTCACAACGAGTAGCTTGTTAATCCTGCTCAACCCAGGCCAGAAAGCTCATGCTATGGTTTACAGGTAATCCTCGGCTTAACGGTCACAATCGGGACCAGCATTTCCATTCCTAACCAAAGCGGTTCTTGAATGAGTCGAATCAGAGATCGTGACCTTCCCCCCCGTGGCCAAGCCAATCACTGCAGTCGTTAAGCGAATGGTATGGCCATTAAACGAGTCCAGCTTCCACCGTTGAGTTTGCTTGGGGGAAACTGGCGGAAAAGGTCACAGAATGGTGATCACGTGACCCCGGGATGCTGCAACGGTCGTAAGTGTGAAGCAGCGGCCACGTGCCCTGATTCGGAGCGGGTCACCACGGAGACGCTGCAACCGCTGTGAGAGTAGCAGTTGTGACTCACTTTCTTCGGAGTTGTTGCAACTTTGAGCAGTCACTAAAGGAGGGGTCTTAAAGCGAGGACCACCTCTAACACACACGACTCCGAATTCAGTGGAAAAACTAACTCCACTTCTAACCTAATTGTCAACCCTGCTAACATTGGATGTTCTTGCTTTGACAACATATGAAGATGCAGCCTTATTCTTCCTCATGCTTTACTCTTAGAATTAGGTGACGCTGGGGAAGGAGGCGGAATGTGATGGGAGTTAGTTAGACATAACAATATGGTAATAGTGTGTGAACTCAGGGCTTTTGAAATAAGAGATGACAAGGAATGGCGGGCTGGAGAATAGGAGGGAAAGCCTGCATTTCAAACTAATTGGAGAATGTGATTTATGACAGGTGGGAATTGTGTTTGATACTGTGTGCTAAGGGGAGGGGAATCCAGATTTTGGCTTCAACTATATTAGTGCCGAAGCTATGCTACTCCAATAAAGATTCTTTAAGATAATGCCTCGAAGTTCTTTGAAGAGTTTCATCTGTCGGAACCATGACACTAACTTTGGAAGCATCTCGACCCAAAGGCTGGAGGAGGACTAGGCAGAAATATGGATTAAGTTGCCACTTATTTATTTTTTTTGGCACACAACTCCCAATAGGGAGCCGAGTTCCAGGCCTCACCTCCACACACACACACACACCAGTTACTCAAGACCTTCTCCAAGGGGAAAACCCAATGCAAACCGATGCAATGTCAATTGCCGCATTGCAACACAAGGGACGATGGAGCAAGAGACCCAATTGCGGGTCAACAACGAGACATGAGCTGCCAATGTTGACCCTGAGGGCAGAAGAGGTCAAAGGGAGGCCTATGGTTTGTGCAAGAGATCTAGGTCATCCTTGACTGAAAGTGTGCTGGAGAGTAACACGGCAAGTAATTTTCCTCCAATGAGGTCCTTGGTGCTCCCTCAGCTTGGTGGTTTTCCTGCAGACGTTTCATTACCCAGCTAGGTGACATCATCAGTGCTAGAAGGGAGTTTGGGAGGAGGAGGAGGTGATTGTGGGGTCCTTGATGCTCTCTGAGTTTGGTTGTTTTCTTGCAGACTTTTCATGATCCAACTAGTGAATGCCATCAGTGCTAGAAGGGACAGGTGTTTGTGGAGGAGGAGGAGGAGGAGGAGGAGGAAGAGGAGGAGGAGATGATGATTGTGGGGTCCTTGGTGCTCTCTGAGCTTGGCTGTTTTCTTGCAGACATTTCATGAGCTATCTAGGGAACATCATCAGTGCATGGTTACCTAGTTCGGTTATGAAATGATTGCAAGAAAACCACCAAGCTCAGGGAGCACCAAGGACCCCACAGTCCTCCTCCTCCTCCTCCTCCTCCTCCTCCTTGCAAATCCCACTCCCTTCTATCACTGCTGATGTTACCTAAATGGGTCATGAAATGTCTGCAAGAAAACCACCACGCTCGGAGACCACTGAGGATCCCACATTCTTTTTTTCCTGACCTGAGTGCTGTCTGCGTTGCTCTCAAACTTACAAAGTATAAGCCAAGGTTAGACAAATGATCAGCATGCATACAACAGCAAAAATCACATTAATTGTTCAAAAGCATCCCAAATGCAAACTTTTACCCTTCAGTAAAAAGTTGTTTGTATCATTGAAAGCTTTGTCATTGTGTTTTTCTTTTAAGACAAAAGATGTTAATGTAGGAGTTGTTTTTGCTAACCTAAAACCTCAGTATTCAGGTTAAATTGCCCGTGTTGGCACTTTGTGATAAATAACTGGGTTTTGGGGTTGCAGTTTGGGCACTCGGTCTCTAAAAGGTTCGCCATCACTGACCTATTCCGTGCATTCCTTTCTGCAGTTTCTTTTTTTATATATATATATAAATGTTTTATTGAGTTTTATAATGGTAGGGAAGGGATAAGATCGGTATGGATATTGGGTGAGGTTAGGGCAGGGGTAGGCAACCTTGGCTCTTTTATGACTCGTGGACTTCAGCTCCCAGAATTCCTGAGCCAGCTATGCTATGCTGGCTCAGGAATTCTGGGAGTTGAAGTCCACGAGTCATAAAAGAGCCAAGGTTGCCTACCCCTGGGTTAGGGGATGGGGTTGGAATAAGGGTAGGGGTAGGTGCAATAGTGGGGTTACCCCCAACAAAAAATTCAACGCTTTAGCAAGCAGACTATCGTCCGGATACAAATATTAAATGACAGTAATTAATTAATCTATATAAATAAAAATGTAAATATTCGTTTGTTCAAAATCTTAAATCTCCGAAAGTTCTTCACCGATTGCTTTGAAATTTTGACACAACGTTGCATTTGAATACGCGCGTGTTTTTATATACCTATATTATATAGATGTCACACCTGTGACAGGTAAAAACATGCTTTTTTTGAAAAACAGCACCATCTGTTGGAACGTAAAAGCAACACACGTTTTTACCAGACTGAGCCACAGCAACGCGTGGCTGGGTACAGCTAGTATAATGCTAAACAGTTATAATCCCTAATAACAACAATAATCATAAAAGTAAAGCTTAGTTAATAAATATCATTCATCCTGTGAAACTTCACTGTCTTTTCTCGTTCTATCGCATTGCTAACCCTTGATAAAAAAAAAAATTTTCCCATGTTTTGAAATAAACTGAATCTTCTTTCTCTTTAATCTCTAAAGTTAGTCTATCCATTTCTCTGCGGAGTTTCTTAAGGCGGTCAAGATTTGAGGTTTGCATATCCTGGTTGAAAGAATTGCTGGAAGGAGGAAAAACTGGACTTACCCACCACCCTGTCTCCGGGCTGCACTCCCAACTTCCTCATGGCCGCAGCGTAGAAAGCCACCTGGTGCCTCAAGTCATCGAAAGTCACTTTTTCTATTTCTTCCTTGCCTTCTCCTAAAGGAACAAAATCAGATCCGGTTGCAGGTTCGCAGCAGGAAGTCAAAAACAAATAATACATTAACCTCCGAAGAAATTAGCGGGCTCAAAAGCAGAGATATGCCCCAGCCCACTAGCTGCTGGATGCACAAACCCACAATCTTCTACACAGGCGTCCCAAAACCATCGTTTCTCCCCCCCAACCAAAGTGCTCCTTGTGAGAAAGAAGGTCCAAAATCTTCAAATTTAATCCAAGGTGTTTCCCCTCCTCCCCTCACCCAGGTTCCAGAAATAATTACTAGGGCAAGCACAGGCAATGCTCCCGATTGTTCTTGTGCATCATTGCTAAGTCAACACAACTTGCAAAAATTCTTCGGCTGAAGGAGGCGAGGCAGAGGAGGGGGGGTCTCACCAGGGCTTAAAACAGGGGGGTTTTTTTTAGCAGCCTGGAGAAAATCCAGGTGTGTGCAAAGGAAATGAATGTAAGATGCACAAACAGAGCAGTATGCCTGCAGTGGTACTTGTGAAGGTTTAGGACAATTATGGATGTAGGGAAGACGTTGCCTTCTGCAACTCCATCTACCAAGGGAGAGAGCAGAGAGGGAATCTAGAACCCTCCCCCCAGAAAAAAAAGAGACACACACA